AAATGCAAATGCTTGCATATTTCACACGACTGGACGTGGGGCTGTCTATCATAATAATGGCAAAGTGTGGTAAGTGTAATTTTGTGATGCAGTGATATCCCACAGTACAATTCAGTAGTAGTTTAAATGGTCACATTATGAGTTCAGCTTTTACTTTATTACTTGTTGAGTCACCTTAGCCTTTTCACCACCACACTTTCTCGCCCAAATTTTTTTGCATTTTTGTCTTGTATTCTTTAATATTTCTTGAAATAAACCCTAATTTTCGAGCCAGACAAAATTTGAGTCAATTTACAGTTTTTACTCAAAAAATGTTAATTTTGTACCAATCTTCAAAAGAAAAGTGCAGACTGTATGTGATGAAAAGAAAGAACTGCATGGTGGTGAAAAGGTTAGACACAATAGGTGATTTTCCGTACAATTGCGAGATCTCGCGAGATGCATGAAAGACGCGCGTCGAACGTCTGCCGCAAAAATCGAACGATTTGATTTTGAACTCGAATTTCCTTATTTCGTAGCTCACACCGACCGGCCGATCTTCGACAGAGGAATATTGCTTCCGAATACCCTTACTTAATCGAAATTGCCTATCATCAAATGTGGACAGCACATTATTAAGCATGGAAATGTCTCTAAAATACTTTCGCGTTTGTCGAATCCCACGCGATGTTTGACGCGACTACGACGCTATGACCTTTGTTTGTCCTGTTTTTACGTTCGATTTCACTCATAACGCGTGATTCTCGCAGTGTACGGAAAATGGTCTATTATTAAACACTAAGATCTCTTTGAGACTGAGAGGTGTTTGTACCATTCAGGTAGTCTTTCAATCTCTCCTGGTTATCGTATAAACTGTTCCACTGTTCTATGTAACTAATGAGGTAATTGTGATGTAATGTGATGATGCAAAACATATTTGAGGGGAAAAGTCATGTGACTCTGTCTACAAGATCTAAATAGTCATTTGCATCTAAAGGTCTATATTTTTGTTATTAGGTTTTTAGCGACTGATAAAGGTGGCCACATTGCTGAATCTGATGGTAGTATTACAAAACGATGGGATTGGCCGGTGCCACACCAGAAGCTACCCGTCACTATTATTCTAGATCTGAATGAGCAAACAAAGTTCCGCTGTAGTAATCATCAACAAATGCAAATAGTATTTAGTTGTCAAAAAGAGTCAGCAAAATTTAATGTTAGTACTGCTCATGGTGCTGTGGAACCTAAGACACCTGAAGATTGGGTAAGTGCAAGTATTCAAGATTTGATACATATACCACAAAGTGTAACCTTTGACACTTCTATACTCCATCATCATATTGAGATATTAAGAATTCACAACTTAAACTCATCACAAGTTACCATATATCACCGCATTAAATTTTGAAAAGAAATAATCTCACTATCCATGACATTTTGTCCGGTGACCTTCATTTTTTTCCATTTTCAGTGTTCATTTGATAATGTCCATACTAATTAATAAAATGTGTTTGATCTTCAGAAAAAAGTTACAAATCTTGTATGTTGGTCAAAAAGTTTTGGATTTTACTGTATAATTGAGAGTATGTTTAACCATGACAATGTGTTTCCATATCTACAGGGGTGTCTTATTACTGGGGAAACATTTGAATCTAAAGCAGCCAAAGAATTTATAAAACCTCCTACACTGAAGAAGAAGGACAAAGACAAAAAGCAGCTCCGCTTCCGCCCTGTAAATAAAAACAAGTCCAGAGAACGTGACTTGGCAGAATTGCAGAAAATCTTGGAATTTCCAGACAAAAATGAGTATGAAATTCCGGCTGAGAAAGAGTTATCAAGACTACAATTGAAAATAAAGTAAGTTTAGTTGATAAGAAAACAATGAATGAGCTGGTCACCTCTCATTTTTGTTACTTGGCTACCATTAAAACAACCATCAGATTTCTTTGATGTTTATAATATTGTTGTTGTTAACAAAACCCAGTTAAAAATATCTGGTTACTAAACTTCTTTTTGCGCAAAACATTCATAAAAATGTTGTGTTTTAGTTCCTTCAGAATATTGCACAAAAATAGCGAAATAGTTTAATTAAAAACCGAATATTAACTCAAATTTACCATTGGTTGCTATGGTGAAACGTTCTCACCATATCTCACAATTTTGTTTGCTTACATAATACTACATAGTTATGTCAAAAATGTTAACATTTTGATGATAACTATGCATTTTTAATGAAATAATGCTTTAACATGTCTTCTTATGGAAATTGCTCATTTTGGCATTTTGATAAATCTTTCAGCTGTTTTTTTTTACATGTAGGTCAAATATCTGCAATCAATGGTAATCATTATTGTGTTTAATTACGCATTATATTGTATACAACAAGAATTGCGTATTTGCAGGTCATGCTGGTTGTAAAAGCTGTATTAATATACAATTGTGTTTCAGGAACATTACTGAAGACTGGATGGAACATTATAGAATAGCTGTGGGTATCAGCTCTCCCCACCTACGCACCATTAGTAGCGCACCTAGATACCGCAAAGCTCGTAACATTCAATCGGCAAAATCAGTTCCGGGCACAATGCCATCTGCCAAGGACTTTCCACAACGCCCATATACATCCTCACCCCTCCCAGAACCCAGGGTAAAGGTGCGAGCCCCATCAGCACCACCTACAACTGGGTTCCACAATAGCAGACCGTTTAGTTCATTGTCCTCACCATCTCGACCAGTCAGCAGAACATCTGAGAAGAGGAAGGACCATGTTAGAATTGAAATTGATGGTGTCCAAGCAGAGACATCAAAAAGTGGAACTCCAAATACACTATCTGTTGCTAGTGGGTGAGTCTGGTTCTATATCACAATCAATCATACGTTATTAATCATCTCTATATAAACACTACCAACATAACATGTGACCAACCTGTGAATAAAGACCACCTCTCTTATGTGACCACCTTTCAGCAATACATTTGCAGATTGGTCTTTGTTTGACTGTACCTTGGGTTGTTGCTATACACAGGTTTGACTGTAACTTCATCATTGTGTTCAATGCTTTCAACCAGCCTAATAGAGCTCAATGTTTTTCTTACTGTCTACTTTTTCATTTTTTCCTCTAAATAAGATGCATAGTACGGCGGATTTGATGGGTTACTGCGCTATAATTAAAAGTAAACATTCTTTTGTTTTTTAAATGTCTCATAATTGTGTAATTACGTAAATGTCTATCTTATTGCATGTGTGTCTTTATATATTTTTTTCTTGCATGACCTTATTGGCCTATTATGTTAATTTCATTGGTATAACTGTAAGTAATGGTTTTGGTGTGGCATGCTTTTCAGTGCACAAAGGATGACGGTTACCATGGAAGTTTGGAATAAACAAAACAACCAAGCTGACTGTCACCCTTTAAGAGGTGTTGTCAAAGTTTACAAAATTACAGTAAACAGTTATTGTTGGATTTTGATGACTTAATACATCCATAGACACTATTAATTGTCTTAATGATCCTTGGAATAAAATATTAACTGCTGCAAAATTTCATATTTTCTTAATTCATGAACAAAGAACTGTTTACAAATATGCAAATTGCAACATATACGTACATTGTACAATCAAATAAAGATTTAGAGTGCAGGCAACAATTTGACAACACACCTAAAAATTTGTCTACCTTTGCAGTCACAAATATTACACTTTATTTCCTTATTGAAGCATTTATGGTACACCTTCAGATTTGCACTTTTTATATATGTTATATAAAGCCATGCACTTCTAATATAGCAAATACAGTATCATAATTGTGTATGCACTTCCAATAGAGTAAACACTGTATCATAATTTTGTATGCACTTCCAATAGAGCAAATACAGTATTATGATTTTGAATTCAATTCCAATAAAGCAAATACAGTTTCATGATTGTGTATGCACTTCCAATAGAACAAATACAGTATCATGATTTTGTATGCAATTCCAATAGAGCAAATACAGTATCATGATTTTGTATGCACTTCCAATAGAGCAAATACTGTATCATAATTTTGTATGCACTTCTATTAGAACAATACAGTATCATAATTTTGTATGCACATCTAATAGAACAAATACAGTATTATGATTTTGTATGCACTTCTATTAGAGCGAATGCAATTCCAATAGAGCAAATGCAGTATCATGATTTTGTATGCACTTCCAATAGAGCAAATACAGTATTATGATTTTGTATGCACTTCCAATAGAGCAAATACTGTATCATAATTTTGTATGCACTTCTAATAGAGCAAATACAGTATTATGATTTTGTATGCACTTCTATTAGAGCGAATGCAATTCTAATAGAGCAAATGCAGTATCATGATTTTGTGTGCACTTCCAATGGAGCAAATACAGTATTATGATTTTGTATGCACTTCCAATAGAGCAAATACTGTATCATAATTTTGTATGCACTTCTAATAGAGCAGATACAGTATCATAATTTTGTATGCACTTCCAATAGAGCAAATACAGTATTATGATTTTGTATGCACTTCTAATAGAGCAAACACTGTATCATAATTTTGTATGCACTTCCAATAAAATAAATACAGTATCATAATTTTGTATGCACTTCCAGTAGAGCAAATACAGTATCATGATTTTGAATTCAATTCCAATAAAGCAAATACAGTATCATAATTGTGTAAGCACTTCTATTAGAGCGAATGCAATTCCAATAGAGCAAATACAGTATCAATGGGAAGGCCAATTCCACTGGCCGAGATTCATTCACTAACGAATGCGACTTTGGGGGAACCTTTGTTAAGGTCCGCAGGTGCTTGTGTTCGACCGAGCCTGGTTGACGCCAGGATAGCGCATTAAAATTGCCATTTGACAGAGAGATGGCCACACAGCCCTGTCATGTAGTCCCAAACATGAATATGACTTCTGTGGCAAAATGCACTATGTGTCAGCACTAGCACTTGCAATTTGCACATACAAAAAAAAAACTAGTCAGGAGAGACAACGGTGACATTCAATGTCCAGAACTGTCGCCTGGCACAAAAAAATTTAAAAAAAAAACAAAAAAAAAACAAAACACAGTATCATGATTTTGTATGCACTTCCAATAGAGCAAATACTGTATCATAATTTTGTATGCACTTCTAATAGAGCAAATACAATATCATAATTTTGTATGCACTTCTAATAGAGCAAATACAGTATTATGATTTTGTATGCAATTCTATTAGAGCGAATGCAATTCCAATAGAGCAAATACAGTATCATGATTTTGTATGCACTTCCAATAGAGCAAATCCTGTATCTCAATTTTGTATGCACTTCCAATAGAGCAAATACAGTATCATAATTTTGTAAGCACTTCTATTAGTGCGAATGCAATTCCAATAGAGCAAATACAGTATAATGTTTTATGCAATTCCAATGGAGCAAATACAGTATTATGATTTTGTATGCACTTCCAATAGAGCAAATACTGTATAATTGTGTATGCACTTCTCATAGAGCAAATACAGTATCATAATTTTGAATGCAATTCCAATAAAGCAAATACAGTATTATGATTTTGTATGCACTTCTAATAGAGCAAATACTGTATGTTATATGCACTTCTAATAGAGCAAATACAGTATCATAATTTTGTATGCACTTCTAATAGAGCAAATACTGTATAATTTCAATGCACTTCTCATAGAGCAAATACAGTATCATAATTTTGTATGCACTTCTCATAGAGCAAATACAGTATCATAATTTTGAATTCAATCCCAATAAAGCAAATACAGTATCATGATTTTGTATGCACTTTTAATAGAGCAAATATGGTATTGTGATATTGCCATCATCATCCCTTGAACCTGAAATCTAGTGTTTTTTTTCTTTCTAGATCCCCTGTACATGGATCTCCGGTGCATTCTGCCATTCGGTCACATAGTTGTAATAGAACTCTGAGAGCAACATCAACCACAGCAGAACACAAACCAACTATTGTACAGAGAGGATGTCCAGTGTATCCTTTTCAGTAATTGAATATAAACATTACCATAGTGAGAAAAGATTAAATACATCTCCCATTATACCTAGTGAGAAAAGATGAAATACATCTCCCGTTAAACCTAGTGAGAAAAGATGAAATACATCTCCCGTTACACCTAGTGAGAAAAGATGAAATACATCTCCCGTTACCATG